GATTCAAGATATGTCTAGATTAATATCAAGCCAAGTGAATAAACATAATGGTAAAAAATTTATTTGTGAAAGATGCATGAATTATTTTCAATGTGAACAAAAATTGATTGATCATGAAATGCTGTGTTCTGAATTGAACCAATGCAAAGTTTCATTTCCAAAATATGATCACATAGAATTCAAAAATTTCACCTACCAACAAACCACCCCCTTTATAATTTATGCAGACTTTGAATGTCAATTAGAACATGTGGATGATATGGTTTCATCAAAAACAAGCAAATATCAGAAACATGTGGCTCATAGTGCAGGCTATTATTTTAAATGTGATTTCGATGATTCCTTGTCGTTTTTCAATAGCCATAGGGGTGAAGATTGTATGGATTGGTTTGCAAATGAAATGTCGAAGATAGCTGAAATCGTGCAATCTAAAATCAAAACAATCGTGCCAATGACTGTTAGTCCTGACAAATGCAAAGCAAAAATCTGTCATATTTGTGAGAAACCATTCAGGGAGAAAGACATTATCGTAGCCGATCATAATCACTTTTCAGGCGATTTCAGGGGGTGGGCGCATCAAGCACCCTGTAACATAAATTTCAAGAAACTCTTTGTTGTTCCAATTGCATTTCACAACCTGATAGGATATGATTCACATTTCATGATCAGTCAATTGAGTAAAAAGGGTCGTATGAGCATACTTCCAATAAACATGGAAAAGTACATATCTTTCACTTTACATGATGACAATACAGACATCAAATTCCGATTTATTGACTCTTTTCGCTTCATGGGTACATCCTTAGATAAATTATCTTCAATCATGGATAGAAAAGATTTTGAAATTTTGAAAAAAGAATTCAGTCATTTGAATGATGATACATTCAACCTCCTCACCAAGAAGGGTGTCTTTCCCTACGATTACATTAGTTGTTTGGAAAAATTGAATGATACTGAATTACCTACAAAGAAATATTTTTATAATAAATTGAATGATGAACACATTAGCGATGAGCAGTACGCCCATGCTCAAAAGGTATGGTCATCATTCAAAATTCAAAATTTAGGGGAATATTCTGACTTATATTTAAAAACAGACGTTATGTTGTTGACCGCTGTTTTCGAGAAATTCCGGCAGAAATGTAGGACAACTTATGGGTTAGATCCAGCATGGTACTATACCATGCCTGGATATACATGGGATGCCATGTTAAAGTACACCAAATGCAAACTGGAATTATTGAATGACGTTGATAAAATCATGTTCATCGAGAAGGCATTACGTGGTGGTATTTCTGTTTGTAGTGGTAGGTATTCAGAAGCTAATAACAAGTATATGTCTGAATATGATTCCAATAAACCTTCAAAATATCTCATGTATTTAGATGTAAATAATTTGTATGGTTGGGCAATGTCAGAGTCTTTACCATTCGGAGATTTCTCATGGATGGAAAACGTTGAAAATTTCAATGTAATGAATATTGCTGATGATGCTCTTGAAGGATATATTTTACAAGTAGACTTAGAATATCCTCGCGACTTGCATAACAATCACAAAGACTTTCCATTTGCTGCTGAACATCGCATACCACCCGGCTCAAAATTATCAAAATTAATGACAACACTTTACGACAAAAAAGATTATATTTTACACTATAGAAATTTAAAACAATGTTTAGCAAACGGACTGAAACTGACGAAAATCCACAAAATTTTGAAATTCAGGCAATCTTTTTGGCTCAAATCATATATAGATCTGAATACTTCTTTGAGGACTGCCGCAACAAATGAATTTGAGAAAAATCTCTATAAACTAATGAATAATGCAGTTTTCGGTAAGACGATGGAAAACATACGAAAGCATAGATTAGTGAAACTAGTAAGATCATGGCAGGGACGTTATGGAGCCAGAAATCTCATAGCTAGTCCACGATTCCGTGGTAGAACAATTTTTGAAGAAAACTTGATTGCCATAGAAATGCAGAAAACCGAAATAATTTTTAATAAACCTCTATACGTAGGAATGGTCATTTTAGATTTATCAAAATTGTGCATGTACAAATTTCACTATGAGTATATGATTCCGAAAATGGGTATCGAAAGGTGTAAATTGTTATATATGGATACAGACAGCTTCATATATGAATTGAAATGTGATGATGCATATGAAGAAGTTATAAAGACTGATCTCTCTCAATTTGACACATCTGAATATGCTCCAGATAATAAATATAATATGCCACTAGTCAATAAAAAAAAGTTGGGTTTATTAAAAGATGAAGCAAATGGGAAAATCGTTACTAATTTCGTAGGACTACGTTCGAAAATGTATGCATATAAAGTACAAGGGGGTAAGGTTGTCAAAAAATCGAAAGGGGTGAAAACTAATGTTGTCAAGAATAAAATTGGGTTCGAAGATTATTTGAATTGTTTGAAGAATTTCGGAGCACAAACAGTGTCTCAACGTACTATCCGTTCATATGCTCACAATGTGTTTAGCATTCAACAATCAAAAATTGCTCTGAGTCCCAAAGATGATAAACGGTATTTGATTCCAGGTTCGTTTGACACATTGCCATGGGGTCATACACAGGCAAAAGAGTAATTTTTTCATGTAAATCAACTCATCAAACATTTATAAAGAAAAAAACTCATACACTTACACTTACACTTTTCTGTTTTAGATCATGTCATCACCTTCACGATTGGAAGATTTAAGCATCAAAGTCATCTGCGAAAGAATTCAAAATATAACATCTTTTTTGAATTATTCTATCTCACACCATCTGCTACCAAACCTATTAGTCCAGGAAATAATCAAAAAATATAGCAAATATCGTTGGAATTATATTATCGAAAATGCTAGAAATGATGAATCACATGAATTGGTTTCATTAGAAAATATTTTGTATGTCAGAGAAATAGCCACAAGTCGTGTAAGAAATGCAATTTTATGTCAATATGATTGGACTCTAGAATATTATCAAACATATTATTGTGTTTGGGTGAATTTCTATAAGATAAAACAATTGAATTTGATTTTATGTCATAGTTGTTACAAAACATTGATGGATGTGTTGAAAATGCATAATATTAAGATCAATTTGCACATAATTCGAGATCATTTTCACTTATACTATAGAACAGATGAATTGCACATGCTTTACCACGATAGAAACCTATGGTGTCAAAATGAATTTAGGGAATTATTATTTGGGCTTAAAGAACGATATGAATGTGATATGGATTTACATGATTCACATTATCAGAGATATGAGAGATTCATCGATTCTGGTGATGAACATACAGATATTGATTCTTGACTTACTTTAACAATATTTTACAGATTTTAGTAGCATGATATCATCTTTACAAATGTAGTTTGCGAAAGAAGACAATGAAAAATGACTTTTTTTTTTCCAGAATATGTTTTTTCTTATGAAAATGTAATACTTGCCCTGGCTATTAATGTAAATATAAAATATGCTGTCTATCTATCATTAATAAAATAATCATTGAAATTTTCTGTGTATCATTGGGATGGGTAGTGAGTGTAAGGGAGAGTGAGAGGGTAAAAAAGTGAGAAGAAGAGAGAGAGAGAGAGAGAGAGAGAAAGAGAGAGAGAGAGATTGGATGGATATTAGTTGAAGGTATGGATGTAAAAAACAGTTGTATCATGTCTTCTGACGAATACAGACGTGCACTAGAAGAATTTGGGTTGAAAGTTAGAAAGCTCAGTGCAGACATCCAATTGTATGAGCAGAAAGTTTGTTTGTTCAAAGATTTCGAGCAATTGAGTATTTGGGACAAGGTGTTCACAGAACCAAGACGCACAGCTGCACCTACATCGAGAAGAATCCAACCAACACAGCTACTAGATGGCGATACTGAAAGCAAGCTTCATTCTATTGACAGCTCTGAGCAACAACGTCTTCTACACAAACATACCGTACAATACGAGGAATGCAGCCGTATGTTTTGATGTGAATCGTACACAACAGTGTGATTGGAAGCTGATGAGTAGAATGTATGTCAATGATAACAAACTACCTGTATATTCAATCGACATGCCTCGAGTCAATGGGACCACCATCGACTACAAATTGAAATTATCGTTTTCTGATGGCAGTGACGGCGAAATGGGAGACTGGCAGACATTTACATTGAAGAAATCACCCGCAAAATTAGATGATGATCAAGATTCTGTCAATATCATTGCAATTTTGACACTTTGTTGTACACTAATATGTTCACTCATTTTAATCTCGCATGTTATTTTCATTATACTGAGAAATAAGGGATGTGATGAATAAAAACTCTGAAATTACGATATATAGTTTTTTATTTTGGCAATAAATTACATAACCAATTATATAAAGTATCGACATTGTGGAGACTGCACTGGAACCTTCCTCCATGGAAATGATTCATGCAGGGTGGAATGGATTGTAGGAACGTTATTGGTTGCCACCAAGAATTGTCAAAATCTTCCAAATTAACAATGTGATTGGTCATCTCCAACTCTGCACATTTTCGCTGCAAAAACTGAATCTTTTGATGGCCTCTTACGTAGATGATGTTTGTCTGCTGCAGGTTATCTCGTAGTATTTGATCCAACTCATTCAAATCCACATAACCACTGGAATATTTTAAACCATGAACGTAACGCTCCACATGATTTGCCATCTTTTTATCTTCTCTGCTTAAACTCGAAAATTCTACAGATGGCTTGAATAGAAAATGACTCGTCTTTTTGCCAATGCGAATGGTCATTTCCTTTGGAATGAATTCACCATCAACCGTGAACCCTTGAATGTCAACCAGTGCGATCTCCATGACTCTTCGAAGCAAACTGACGTCTGACTGATGTCACAACACCCACCTAGGCAATATTTCGAACAATTTCGCTGAGTGGGAGATGTTCCATGATTTGATCATGAATGATGATGCAATAGGCTTTGGTGTCGGGAGGGAAGCCTGTAGTCGCTTCAATGTCCAACTTTATGTCAACTGTGGACGACTTTAGACCCAGATGGCGCCTCGAGCAATCGATAACAAACATTGGTCGGGATTTGAATTCGGCAAAGTTTACTAGAGAGCGCTTTTCTTGACAGTTATGGTAGCTCTTGTTGAACTCTGTATAGTTGAAGTGGGCGTCGGCATATTGGTCTCGGGAAAAGTCCAATAGCATTCGTTCTTGCGGATAATAGTCGCTATTCAGAGCCAATCGTATGGATTTGATGTTGGCATTATCGAACAAGGTGACGTCTTCATGCAAATTATCGGCTTTTTTCGTTTGGAAAAATACTATAACATATCTTGGACTGTCCAATGCAGAACATGTCTTGACGGACCAGATTTCTATGGTAGATCCTTGTGTGAGTGCTGGTAGCTCGTGCAATTCCCATCGGCGAAACGGTATCATCATAGACTCATCTGCTTTGATACGTGTCAACAACTGCAACTTTATGTCATCGTTGGGTGTGAGATGTGGCACTTTCAAATTGATGCTTTCTATCGTTATTTTAGCAATACTCTGAGTCTGAGGAGATCCTTGCAAAGCAGTATTCGCTCTCTCGACAACCTTCACACTATTGGCATCATTGCGAGCTCTCACTAAACGGATTGACTGCTTGCCCCACGTTGCCACTTGATGATCATTGAAGATGGAAAACAAATGTTTCAGTGGAATGTTCATGCTAAACGTACCATCGGTGTTGAGGATCGGAGCATTGGGATAGTTCCAGCCTGCTATGGCTAGATGACGTGAGTCTTCAGGCGTATAACACAAGTATCCTCGCACAGTACTCGTTATTCCAGGATATCTGACAGTGTCCAATTCTTTATTACACAATTCATAGGTGCAGGAATCAAAGAGATAAGCTCCAGCATTGTGGGTTAATGTACCAGTACCACCACCGGTCACCTTCAATTTACCCTTGATGGTAATGATGCCTTCAAACATGGCCAACCACGAATCTGCTTGATTAACCGTTATATCGATGACATCATTGTTCTCGAATGATTTCACATATGGATAATAGGTACGCCATTCCACTTTAGTGATGCTTTCGTCGAGTCTGGGTTTGCGGAAAACGTCGAACACGGGTGCTAACAACATTGTAGTCTTTGAATGATTTCAGAAACAGGACACTGGATAATGTCAATGTTTTTCTGTTGCTGCTCTTCGAAGACACGACTGCTTTGGTGCACGGTGTCGAGAGAACTGGTGCCGATGATGTTGCTGATGATGGTATATTATCTGATTTATAGGAGTAATCAAACACTAGTACCATCTTGCGAGTTTCTTCAATTCCAATCTTATGATGATTTCTTCACCTCTAAAATTCACCTGCCTGAAATCTTGGTCTAGAATCTGGAGTGTAATGTTGGGCAATTCCCGCCTGCTGACTATAGGTAGATAGATTAGATTTCTGGGAGTCTCGTCTATGGCGTAACCAGGATCGACTGCAACTGCAAACTCGTAGATCGTATGTGATGGTCTGTCGTTGTAGAGAGCTCCAGCAGTAACGTTGCTATCAATGTGAATGGTTCTCACTTTGGTTATGGTGACCGGCAAATCGGAAGTGTGGACTTGTTGTGCGTTCAACAATCTATTTGAAAATCCCAAGACTTGAGCTATGCTATCCTTCGGGCGAAAATCAATGGCAAACTGTTTGCTCGAAATCTCACACTTTAGTGTATTATTGTTGGGCTTCAACGAGAATATATCATCAACGTCCTTTGCACTTGAGATGCCCAATTCTTTGCGTATGAATGTCTCAATGTCCACAATGTCGTATGAACCTTCGGGAATATCGATGATCTTTCCCGCCTTGGTCTTATCTTGCAGATAAAACTTTGATCCTTTGTCGATATTCGGTATACTGTTGTATGAATGGAATCCCAACAATGCTAGTCCGTAATCAGAGTCTGGATCGAGTTGGAGTGGTGTCAAAAAGTCTATGGAGAGCGTAGATGTACGACCTTTCAACGTCACAATCAGAGACATGACTGATGTACAATGACCGAGTTACTTGGTCTCATTAAAAAGGAATTCTAAACATAGACGTCCACAATTACTTTGATTGAAATTCTGGTATTGATTGTTATTGTACAAGATTTTCGTGCTGACACCCAAATATTGAGCCAATTCTCTGGGCAGTTTCAGATTGCCATAACTATCGAAATATAAGGCTTTTTTATCATTTTTTATGTAAGCCACCCAATGAGTGCCCGCATGATTGGAGGTATCCAAATTCAATACAGCACACTCGCGATGCCATGGACCGGTGGAAGGTAGAGTGTCCCGCATAAAAACACCTCGAAAATATGGTATTTTCAGCTGTTTGGCATACTTTATCACATCTTTATCGTACATTGATTTATTGGGTAGCTTGTCTAGAAGTTTTTTGAGTTTTTTGATTGTTTCTTCAAGTACAGTCCGAATCCTCTCGATGTTTTGCGTAGAAATAGGCCGGAACCCTGCTTGCCGATAGCCTCCATTGCTTTATTATGTCTTTGATCTTCTTCGAGCTTTTTCTTTGCATTTTTCGCATCAATGACTGTCTTTGCGACTGCTCCGGCTCCTCCAGCTAGAGATCCTAGGGCTCCCAAGGCGGCAAAGATTGGTATCAATGGTAGTATACCGCCACTGTGTGGAAGAGGTATGATTCTTGGTACTCTGATTCTTTTTTTACCGCCAGCCCTCTTGACTGCCATTCTGGCTGCATGGAGTGCTTTCAATGCAGATTTATTCAGACCACTTCCTGATGTTGTACTACCACCACCACCACCACCACCACCACCATCTGACTTTGATAGTACATTTTTTATGAATTTGATAATGTTGGATAGGGATTGCTGTGATACAAGACCCATGCCAAGTTTTCGTTTGACCTTCATTCCGGTGGTGACAAGCCAAGCAGCAGCCTTCTCTTTGAATTTAGCGTTCTTCGACTTGACTCTCTCCCACGCTCTATTTTCCAATATCCAATCAGCTTTGTGCCTGTCTTCTATTGAGGAATTTTGTGAATAGGCGATATCGTGTTCTCGACACGCGTCGTCCAACGGATTGATACCGGTGTCTCCTCTTGCAAGTCTTTTATCGAGTTTGGTACCTGGACCACAAAATCTGTAGCCTGGAATGTGTAATTCGATGGGAAGTTTATCGATCAGAGAATTAAGCACACCCTCTCCGTGGTAGAGCAACATGAAGACTGACGTGTAGGAAGTTCGACAACTCTGCATATACCTAATGAAATGAAAAATATATCATCACATGATGAAGATCATTCAACAAGAACGGATGTTACCCATTGTGAATTTGGATGAAATTTTGTCAACCAAACCACCAGTAAATAGTAAACATGGGAAACTGCTTCCCCATTCGTTCAGAGCAATCTTCTGCGGACCAAGCGGATGTGGAAAGACCAATGCGATGCTTTCCCTGCTGTTCAATCCAAATGGCGCGAAATTCGAGAACGTTTACGTGTATTCAAAGTCGTTGTACCAACCGAAATATCAATTGCTGCAACAAGTGTTGGATTCAGTGAAAGGTGTTGGGTATTTTCCCTTTAAAGAAAATGATGATGTCATTAGTCCATCAGAAGCGAAAAATAATTCGATATTCATTTTTGATGATGTATCATGCGACAAGCAGCAAAAAATTCGAGAATATTTTTCAATGTGTAGACACAAGGATATTGACGTAGCATACCTATGCCAGACTTTTTCTAAGATACCGAAGCAGCTGGTGCGAGACAACAGTAACCTGTTGGTGTTATTTCGACAGGATGAAATGAATTTGAAGCATGTGTTCGACGAGCATGTCTCACCAGACATGTCATTCGATAAATTTAAAGCATTGTGCTCAGAGTGTTGGAATTCCAACCAATATGGTGCGATGGTGATTGCAAAAACTTTCGATATGAATGCTGGCAGATATAGAAATGGTTTTGATAAGTTCATAAGACTGTGATCTCTGAACCATTCATCAAGATGACGTCAACCAAGATGCATGATGATGTTGCTGATGCGCTGCGCAAGAAAAAAATCAACGAACTATCGAAATCAATCAGAAGAAAATATTTAGCACTAAAATTGGGCAAGTCTGAGGATGATGATGCGTTACAGAAAATATTCCAACCACTGACATCACCTTTGAAACAAATTGCCACCACGTCCAAGGTAATAAAAGAAAAACTCGATGGAACGCTTTCAAACATCAAGCGAAGCAGAGCAAAATCGTTGGGGTTGAAGAAGGAGAAGAAGGAGGAAGAGGATGAGGAGTTGGAGAGGGAGCAATCGGATTTGAACCAAACTAATTTCATACCTATGATGGATGTGGCTGATAATGCTGGGCATACTGAAGATGATGATGAGGATGGTTATGATGATGCTGATGATGAACTTTTTGTAGAAAGTGAAAATATCTCACCGGCTGCAATACATGATTACGTTGATCAGTATCCTGCGATGGCTCAAAAATATCTGACTGAATACTGGACAAATGATGAAAATATCGATACGGTTTATGGCCCCAAATATGATCCAGTAACATCGAAATGGTCCCTCAACGGAAAAGAAATGAATTTCCATCGAAGAACTGGAGATATACTTCTTGATGGCTTTCGGTTCCGTGGCACCCCAGGCCTCTATCAATTACTCTTCTATAATGATCCATCCTTTGCCAAAGATGATACGAACCCATACAAGCAAATACTCTTGCTCACCAAAGCTCATCTGAATTCTGCAGGACTTATGAAGTCCTCCTCTAGACTCAAATACGTAGAAATTATTCGTCCAATGTTCAGATCCAATTCCAGTGGTCGTGGTTTGAAGTTGACATACAACACAGCACCTATCGAATACATGTATTGGGATGATCCAAATGAATTGGTAGATAGATTGAAGTTGCTCATTGCATCACAGCAAGCCGGAAATACATCAAACGATAACGAGATTGTTGCCATCTTGAACGAATTAGAAGAGGCAGGCATAATAAAACATGTGTAACATTTCTGTGATACTTCCGTGACACTTCCATGACAACTTCCGTGACAGTTCCGTGACACTTCCTTGACACTTCAGTGACAGTTCCGTGACAGTTCCGTGACACTTCCTTGACACTTCCGTGACAGTTCCGTGACACTTCCTTGACAGTTCCGTGACACGTCCATGGCATGTCTATGAGTGAAGGGGCTAATAATTGGCGAGGCAAAGTGCCGTCCATTATCGATAACGTACAATACTTTAGTCATTAGCATAATGAGTCTCGACAAATTCGGACGTGGTTCGTTTCCACGCTCAGCTCAGATGGTGACAGTCAGATCTGGATTTTCACATACTCCAACCGGTGATATTGATGTTGGTCATTTGAAGATGTGTAACGTAAAACTGCCAACAGATGTCGCTGATGTTGCAAACAAACAATATGTGGATGAAGTTATATCGCAAATAAAGTTAGATTTCAAGATTGCTTTCGATAATTACGGTGAAAAAATCCGAAATTACCTTGCTGGCTTCAGCAACGAAATTATCGATGTACGAAAGAGAGTGGATTCTCATGATCTCAAACTGGCAACGTACA